TCACAAGTAACACACTCAAGGAATGGACTCAAGGGGTGCCAGAGCACTGATAAGTAAGTCTTGCTCTGTGTGGTGGGCCCCTGCACAGATGATCATCCTAGGTAGTCAGAGGTCGGTGGCTAGTCCTTACACCTGATCAGCCTGAGTAAAACCCTCCCACTGACATGCCAACAGCAATCAAAACTCAATTACAACAGAAGGGTGTCAAGTCCATATGAGGGGTGCACCTCGAGGGCCCAGCTGGGTGATCAGGGAGGCTGTGCCACTGGACCCTAGAGAACACTTATTACAACAGGCTACCCTACAAAGCCTAGGAGACATAGCAACTCTACCTAAAACATAGAAACAAACACAGGGAGGCAGCCAAAATGAGGAGACATTTAGAAAGAATGAAAGAACAGAACAAAACTCCATGAAAAGAACAAAATGAAATGAAGGCAGGCAATCTAACAGATGCAGAGTTCCAAACAGTGCTTATAAGGACGCTCAATGAACTTAGTGAGGGCCTTAAGACTTAATAAAGGACCAGTCAGAAATGAACGATGCAGTAACTTAAATAAAAAATCTACAGGGAATCAATAGTAGAATAAGTGAAGCCAAGAATCAAACTATCAATTTGGAATATAAGGAAGGAAAAACACCCAATCAGAAGAGCAAAAAGAAAAAGGAATCAAAAACAATGAGGATAGTATAAAATGTCACCAGTACACCTGTAAGTAAAGAAGCCAGGGACAACTTCAAGTGTACGAACACTCACATCATGGGAATGCCAGGAGATGAGAGAGAGGACAAGAAATTGAAAACTTATTTGAAAAAAATAATGACAGAAAACATCCCTAACTTGGTGAAGGAAACAGACATACAAGTCCAGGTAGCACAGAGAGACCCAAACAAGATGAACCCAAAGAGGTTCACACCAAGACACACCATCATCAAAATGCAAAAGGTTAAAGACAAGAGAGAATCTTAAAAGCACCAAGAGAAAAGCAGTTAGTTACATACAAGGGAGCTCCCATAAGGCTGTCAGCTTATTTCTCAAAGGAAACTTTGCAGGCCTGGAGGGAGTGGCAAGAAATATTTAAAGTGATGAAAAGCAAGGACCTACAACCAACATTACACTATTCTGCAAAGCCATCATTTAGAATCTATGGCTATATAAAGAGTTTCCCAGACAAGAAAAAACTAAAGGAGTTTATCACCACCAAACCAGTATTATATGAAATGTTGATGAGTCTTCCTGCAGAAAAATATAAAAAAATATGAACAATAAAATGGCAATAACTACATATCAAGAATTGAATCTACAAACAAAATGAGCAAGCAGAATAGAAACAGACTCATAGATACAGAGAACTTTTGTTGATTGCTTAAAGGGAGGGGAGGTGGATGAAAAAGATGAAGGGATTAGGAAGTACAAATTGGTTGTTAGACTGATGAACCTCAAAGGGAAGGGGGGAGGGAGGGCAGGAAGAGAGATACCAAAGAACTTATATGCATATATGCATAAGCAATAGACACAGACGATAGTGTGGAGAAAGCTGGAAGGGGGCCGAATTAAAGAAGAGGGTGTGTGTGTGGGGGGGGGGGGACAAGAGGGACATCTGTAATACATTCAACAATAAACATAAGTTTAAACTAAGTGATACATTCATGGCAGCCCTGTAGGAGATGTCATCAGTATACCTGAAAGTAAAGAAGCTAGTTCCAAAGCTGTGCTCCATCAGTGCATTTCGTGTGATGAGTTAAGTATCCCTGGGGCTCCCCCTGGGAAATGGGTGGTGAATGAGATGAAGCGGAAAGGAAGACTTTCAATTTTCACCTTCCATGATTCTATACTGCTTGAATTTTGTTTGCTGGAAGCACATATTTACACAATAACAAAATTTAAAAAGCAAGAATTAGGAAGGCAGGTGTTCACTGTCAAATCTGGCCACAGACAAGTAGTCAAAGCTGTCACATAGCCCTGATTTGCTCTTGTAGGAAAATTAGATCAGAAATTCTCGAATGGGCCTGCAAAAGCATGTCCTGTGCCCGCCTCCACACCTACTGGGTCTCCCTCTGGGCACCTGTCAGTGAGGGCCCCAATGGGCCAACCTGGTGATGACTAAGAAAACAACCCTATCTCTGGTGGACCCCAGTTCCGAGACAGGTTTTGCCACTGATGTGTCACGTGTCATGGCCAGCAGCAGCCTCCATGGCCCCATTCGTCACATCTCACTGTGATATGGAGGACAACAGGAACACTCCTCCACTCCAGTCAGGACGCAGGCAGACAGAACAAAGCAGAAAGAAGCTGCATGGCACCAACACAGGGCTGCAAAGACGTGTTTGCTTTCAGAGTCACCTGCAAGGCCACCCAAGAGACCACCGCCCTCTTAATGACTCCTGTTTAGAGCAGCACTGTCCAACAGAAATTACTATGCTGATGGAGATGTTGTTCTTCATCTGCACTACCCAAGGAAGCAGCTGCTGGCCATGTGTGACTACTGAACATTTGGAATAGTGTAATGGAATCTTTCATTTTATTGACTTTTGACGGATTTCAATGTTAACGTACATAGTGAACAACGCAGCCCTAGACTGTAGCTCTCTGGTGCCATGGTCAAAAACCTCATGGCCCTGGAATCCTCCTCCATTTGAGTCAAGGTCTACTCAATGCAGAGGAAGAACTCCCCTCCTGGCCTGCATCATATCAGTATTGGGAACCTACTCTCCAAGAGGTCATCAGTTAAGATTCCCAATCAAGGCACATGCCCAAGTTGAGGGCTCCATCTCCAGTAGGGGGCATGCAGGAGGCAGCCAATCGTTTCTTTCTCTCCCTCTTCTTCTATTTAAAAAAATATCCTCAGATGAGGATAAAATAAACAAATAAATAAAGTTTTCAAACTTTCACACGCCCTAAAGAAAAAAAATTCACCTTTTGGGGGTCATACCAGCCATATGTATTACCCCTTGTGGCTGTTTCATTTTGTTCCTGACTTTCTCCACATGGCTGTTTGTGTGGATAAGAGCCACTAATTGCAACCTTGGAGTGACAGCCTTCCACCATCTGGGCTTGATCAATACTCATTTTGGCTATCTTTTATGTTTTCTAGAGTTTGATTTCTTTTTAAATTATATCTAATTAATCCAAACCTTAGAGAGGTATAAGCAGACTCTTCTAAATCTTGAACATGCTATGCTGCCCAAGATCATTGCCTGAACATTCTCCTTCATTCTGAAATGAGGCTCCCTCCCCTCACTGAAGTTCTTAGGGATGATGATGCCTACTTCAGGACCTGGTTAGTCTTGGGCCAGCATCCTACTTGTAATTACAATAGTTTGGGAATACGGTATACATTCACACATCAGACAAAACTGGTCTTCCAAAAGTCAATTACAACTATATCCAATATTTTTATCTATTTTTCCCTCCAGATGGGACTTTTAGAATAGTTTTGTCGGGGGGGGGGGGGGGGGAGGGAAATCCCACTGAAATTTTGGTTGGAAGAATAATAACCCCCTAAGTAAACTTGGGAATAACTATCATTTTATCTATACTATTTCATCTTTCTTCTCCTGGACCATGGTTCTTTCTTTCCCCTTCAAATTTTGTCTTATACCACCTCAGCCAAGCTGCTATGTGGGTTTTCACACAGGCATAAAGTTAAATCTTCCTCCTAACAAGGTTCTCTATTACCTGCAAATTTGGACCAATCTGCCTTCCTTTCTTATCACCACATTTTTGTTTCATGCCTTATCTCAGATGTCAAAAGCCATTTATGGAAATAATGGCCAAAGGACACAGGGAGCTCTATTCTGAACACACCTGATGTAGGAAAGCCATAAAACAAGACTGTTTCCAGTCCCATTCCTGTCTTTGCATCTCAAATGCCCTTGTGCCTGTGTCAGATAGAACATCACCTTAAACCAGGGCAGTGTGCCCTCCCTCTAGCCTGTGAAGACAGGATTGAAGCTGAGTGGTTGGGCTTTCAAAGGGTCTGAGAGGTTGACTTAACCTATTGGGCCAGGTGGCTGATCCCTGATCCTTAGCAGGAGCCCAAAGTCACTCATAAGGATGGGTTCCCTCACATGGAGCGAGGTGCTACCTGAGCAAATGCCACACCCCAAAGTTGAGGAAGGAAGCCTGAGAAATGGTAATGTAGCTTCACTAAGGGGCAAGAAAGGGAAAGCTAGCTAAAAACAGAGGACCTGTGCTACCCAGCATAGGTCCAAACATTTTAGACCCCTTAAGATGCCTCATCAAGACAAATGCAAGTCATTTTCCAAATCAACTAAGAAAACATTAAGCCTATTCTAGCAAACGAGAGATGAACATGAAACAGGAATTCACTGGCCCAATTTCTATAGTAACATGAACCAAAAAAATAAGAGGAAATTAATGTTCTTTTACACACACACACACATTAAATGGTTGGGATAGAGGATAGGGAAGATGGAACACTACCATTATTCATTCAACAGACACACAGAAATGAATAAAGCTATGCTAAAATACCAGGTGAGGTACACAACAGAACAGCTCACAGAAAGCAGTCAAACATTTAAGAAAGATTTGCCATCCCCTGACTCAGGCTCACTTACGTGACTTGCTCTATTACCAATAGGATGCTGGTTTGAATGTGCCCTTTTATAGCTCTGTCATAACCATAAGAAGGGCCTGTGCCCTGAGAGTCACTGAAGTCTCTGTCTGGGCCCCAGAATGAACATATGTGGAACAGACCCATGCTCGACCTGCAGAAAGGAGCCAAATCCAGTTGAACTGTATGTGAACAGAGCCACTCAGCTGAGACAACCCAGATCAGTCAACCTCCAGCCAATTCAACAGAAGCATGAGCAAGACTAAATGACTGCTGATGTAAATCACTGAAATCTGAAATGTTATGCGGCCTTGTTGTGGCAATAACTAACTGATACAGATGGCTTCCCCAAAAGGAATCCATTAGCCATTTAAAGAGAGCCTTTTCCTCCAAGTTCATAAAGAAATCAAAGCTACTTACCAGGCTCACCTTTCTTCTTTGAACCAGACTTCTTCTTTGCAGGAGCCTCTTGCTTTGGCACCTCCTGGCTCTGAACCATATCTGCATTTTTGCCCTGGTTAGGAGCTGACTCTGCTTTTTTACCCTGATTGGCAGACACGTCCACCTTTTTGCCCTGGTTGGAGGACCCTTCTGACTTTTTGCCCTGGTTTGGGGTTCCTTCTGCCTTCTTGCCTTGATTGGATGCCCCATTTGCCTTTTTCCCCTGGTTAGCAACACCCTCCGCCTTTGTGCCCTGATTAGTGACTGAATCTGCCTTTTTGCCCTGATTCTGGGCACCCTCTGCCTTTTTGCCCTGATTCTGGGCCCCCTCTGCCTTTTTGTCCTGATTCTGGGCTCCCTCTGCCTTTTTGCCCTGGTTGAGAACCCCCTCTGACTTTTTGCCCTGGTTGGGGGCCCCCTCTGACTTTCTACTCTGGTTGGGAGCCACTTCTGCCTTTTTGCCCTGGTTGGGAGCCCCATCTGCCTTTTTGCCCTGGTTGGGAGCCCCGTCTGCCTTTTTGCCCTGGTTGGGAGCACCCTCTGCCTTCTTGCCCTGGTTGGGAGCTCCCTCTGCCTTTTTGCCCTGATTCTGGGCCCCCTCTGCCTTTCTGCCCTGGTTAGGGACACCCTCTGCCTTTTTACCCTGGATGGGAGTCCCATCAGCATTTCTGTCCTGGTTAGGGGCTCCCTCTGCCTTTTTGCCCTGGTTCTGGGCTCCCTCTGCCTTTCTACCCTGATTGGGAGTTCCCTCCACCTTTTTGCTCTGATTCTGAACTTCTATCTTTTTGCCCTGGTTGGGGCTCCCCTCTGCGTTTTTGCCCTGGTTTGGGACCCCCTCCTCTTTTTTGCCCTGGTTGGGGGCCCCTTCTGCTTTTTTACCCTGATTCTGGGCCCCCTCCACTTTTTTGCCCTGGTTGAGGGCCCCCTCTGCTTTTTTACCCTGATTCTGGGCCCCCTCCACTTTTTTGCCCTGGTTGGGGGCCCCTTCTGCCTTTTTGCCCTGGTTGGGGGTCCCCTCTACCTTTTTGCCCTGGTTGGGGGCCCCCTCTACCTTTTTGCCCTGGTTGGAGGTCCCTTCAGCCTTTTTACCCTGGTTAGAGACCCCCTCTGCCTTTTTGCCCTGGTTCTGGCCCCCTTCTGCCTTTTTGCCCTGGTTCTGGCCCCCTTCTGCCTTTTTGCCCTGGTTCTGGGCCCCCTCTGCCTTTTTGCCTTGGTTCTGAGCCCCCTCTGCCTTTTTGCCCTGGTTTGAAACCCCTTCTACCTTTTTGCCATGATTTTGGGCTCCCTCTGCCTTTTTGCTCTGGTTTAGGGTTCCCTCTGCCTTTTTGCCCTGGTTCTGGGTCCCTTCTGCCCTTTTGCCCTGAACAGCACCAGTGGCCTTAGACCCCACTGGGGGCACAACCACCATAGGCACCTCCTTAGGAGCAGTTTCCAAGATGGCAGCCTTTGAGGCAAGAACCTGGACAGAATTCACTACAGAACTGACTCCTGGTTCCACTTTTGCTACTTTTTTCTCTTTCTTCCTTTTGTCCCTAGGAGAGGAGACCAGCTTCTCTTGGGGCATGGCTGATACCGTGGCTATAGGGGTAATGACCACAGGGGAATGGACTGGGGTTGGAGCCACAGCCACTGCAGGTGCCCGCACTGGGTCTCTGAGGAGGATGGTCATGTTTGGGGCTGGCTCATGGTCAGGTATCTTCCCATTGGGTTTCTCTTCCTTTTTCTTGGTCTTTCCTTTCTTCTCCACTGTTTTCTCCTTCTTTTTCTTCTCTACTTTCTGGTTATGAGTTTTTGCCATCTCCTTGCGCTGGTTGGCTAGAGCTTCTTCATATGATGTCTCCTTCATGGAAAAGGTCGACACCAGGAAGATGCCAATGGCAGAAACAACCATGAATCCACCAAAGACCACAACCCCCAAGGTTTGAGTGTCGTAAATGTCCATTCTGGCTTGCTTTGTTCACCTGCCAAACAGATACACATGGATTACTTTTTGCAGAAACTGAGGCATTCAGTTTCCATCCCTAACCTATCACCAAACTTAAGGTTTCACTAATTCTTCAGATTGATAAAGTCAAAGAAGAAACAAATCTAGGTAATCTCTGATGCCATACATTCTTACCTGCCCTTCCTTAGAAGTTAGAAATTTTTAAGCAAGACATGAGTTGAGTGGTTCTTTTCAGTGCCGGCAGATACAAAGCACTAGAGAGATGGAAGAGTGCAGGTCTGGCCCTGGCCGGTTTGGCTCAGTGGTTGGAGCGTCGGCCTGTGGTACAGAGAGACCCAGGTTCGGTTCCCGCTAGGGGCATGTACCTCGGTTGCAGTTTGTCCCCGGCCCTGGTTGGTCGTGCGGGTGGCAGCCACTCGATGTGTCCCTTCACATCGATGTTGCTCTCTCTCTCTCTCTTCCTCCCGCTCTATCTGAACAAAAAATGGAAAAATGTCCTCGGGTGAGGATAAAAAAAAAAAGAGTGCAGGTCTGTACTTAAGGCCCGTGACAGCCTGGACATTCTGAAGCCTCAATCACAATTCGAGATATTCCTAACCATAGGAGTTAAAGATGCACATAAGCACAACCACAAGCCAGGTGTGAAACAACGGGGAGTGTTGAGGAGTATGGCAAAAATGTCCCACAAATTAGGGGGCAAGTGTCAACCAGCCATAGCTGATTTAGAAATGCAAGCACTAAGCCGAGATCTTTTGCTTTTTCACATTAGGCCAGAAATGTTTTTTCCTTAATGTGACATTGATAAATTGGAAGCAAAAAAAAAAGCCATGTGAGCCTGATAAGTAGTAGGCAATTAGACAGACATGAGCAGAGTAGGAACAATAAGCCAGTTATGGAAAGTCACCAAGATGGAAGGCCCCAGGAGCCTAGCAATGGACAACTGTAAGGTGGGACCTCATCCCCAGAGTAACCTTTCCTCCCCTAGCATATCACAGGTCATTCAGTGTGGACCATCCCCTGACCTTTCTTGCCTTAGCATATCACTGGTCATGCAGTTCAGACACCCTGACCTTTCATATTACTAGTCATCATGTGGTTCAGACCATCCCCTGACCTTTTTCCTCCTCTGGCATGCCACTAGTCATGAAGTAGACCCTGACTCCCCCCACACACACCTTAGAGGAGGAATAAGGGGGCTGGAGAAAAGCTTCATTTGACTCCCAAACAAGCCCTTGCATAACCATTCCCTTAAGCATTAAGTTCCCAAGACAATGAGGTTCCACCCTGCATCAAATAATCTTAGGAACAAAGCATCCAGTCTTCTGACCACTGAGACAGAATTTTAGTCAAACAAGAGATAACATGCAGGCCTCAGTTGTGTTTCAGCTCCAGGCCCAGAAAAGCAGCAAGGCCAGGAGGGGTGATGCCATGGCTGACATCAGGACCAGCTTTGTTAAGTAATGATCCCCTGTCCTGGCGCCTACCAATCTGTGGAGACCACGACCCTGAGGAGACACTCCTGGAAAGCTGGAAAGCTGATGAGTATTTTATTGAGATTCTTCCCTGAAACCTCTAGATAAAAGCCCTTAAGACCCAGAGGTTCATTCATTCTCATTCTCTCATTCTTTCTTTCTCTATCCCTTCCTAAGTCCATGCAGTCTAGCTGGCTCACATCTTCCATGGCTCACTTCTCTACTTCTGTGACTTTCTAAATAAAATTTCGGTTGTATTTCAGTATTAGCTCTGAATTCTTTCCTAGCCAAACTCAAGGACCCAGGTCTAACATCTGGTGCATTTTGCCACTAACATACCAAAGCAAACACTTCTGCAGGCTTTCAGGTGCATACATTCTGGCAGCAGGCCCTTGGTGTGCCATCTCAGGCCCAGTGTTGATAAACACAACTACCCAGGGTAAGAAATGAAAACCTTTTCATTAAAATTCTGAAAAGTGACCAAAAATTTGGTGAGGAAAATTGGCCTTTTGCCAGTGATAGCTGCTGAAAGGTTATGGAACCTGCAATTCACACATTAGGAAACAGGATGTATCAGTATTGAAAAACCCACCACATAAAAGACTTCCAGGTTTAGAATTTTATATCCGGAGGCTGCAAAGAGGGAGGGAGGGAGGAAGTGTTACCAGGCCCAATCTTCACCCTGGGGAGGGGGCCCTATGCCTGGTGACATATCTCAAAACAAGATGAACCACCCCTTCTTACTACCCATGGACCAAAATCCAAAGAGTCAGAGACAGCCTGGTCTACACTTTCCTAGCTGATAGGCCAGGTTAGATTCAACTTCAGTGAGAATCTTCAAGAGTTTATTTATTTGGATACACTCAACTTTTACCAACTAATTTTGATGTTATTATCAGATTCCCATCCCCCTGAACTGAAATGAGAAACAGAGCCTAGCCCCCTAGAGGATCAGCGATGGAATTAGTGAACAAAATGTGAGTGTAATACAGGTGAGTAAAAGAAAGTGGAAAGGGGTAGAAAAGAGAGGAACAGAAGAAGTGAACCCACCTCCCCAGCATAACCCTCCCAAAATTTCTAGACACCGCACCGGGGCAGTGTCCAGGTTTGTCAGTGGCTTAGAAGTTGAGATTCCTCTTCCAGTGGGAGTGGGAAAGGAAAACAGAGTAGAAATTTCTAAACAATCATGAAATCTAAATTTTGACCTTAGGGCATTTTTAAAAAGGAACTAAGAAGAGAGACAGTTTTAAATGTCTCAGCATTATGTTCTAAGAAAAATCAGTGTCACTGCAGAACAAGCACACTACTTTATTATGCCTTTCTAATAAAACCCTTGCAGGAAGAGGGTTTAATGAGCTCCTGACAAAAATTTCACATGTGCTTTCCAAAGTGGTAACTCCGTCAGCTGCAGTTGTGATACTTCTCCTAGCCTATCACCCTGGGTCTGCAGGACTACATCAAACTCTTCATTCCGGCCAGAACCTCTGCAAATGAAGTCTGATGCGGGATCATGGAACTTTCAACCTGGGCAAGTGGGTTCTGACCTCAGGCCGTGGGTTCTAACAGCATGATCCACAGCCAGGGTGCCCTCATTTATGACAGTAAAAAGGCTCTCCAAAGGTAGTCCTTCCAGAAACACAAGCTAAGTGTTAAGAAGAAAACTGCTCTACTTACTTCTGGAGAAATCCATGGGGTGGGAATGCAGGGACAAGAAGCCATGGAATATTCTAGTCAACTTCCATTTCTTGGTAGGTATCTACCAACTGAACCTCCAGGTCCTCACAAAGACCTCTCAGAAGTTAGCCAATGCGGACACATTCAGGTACAAAAACTACATTATAATCACTATATTCAGTCTATTCAGATGACAAAATTCCAGAGCAGCACAAGATCAGGAGCCTGAGTCACCCTGGCCAAGACTCCATAAGCTCCAAGTGGTTTTCCAACAATCCTGCACTTGAGGGGTGGTCTCCCATGGAGCAGCAGGGTCACCGGCTACTACAAAGCGGGTCTGTCCCTGCAGACCACTGTGGGACCTGTGCAGCTTTGTGGTTTAGGCAGAAAAGCCAAAGTTGAAAAATTAGCCTTGAATCTTACTCAAGTTATACAAACATGGGATACAGAAATATATTCTCTGTTGGGAGCTCAGAATCGAGAAAGGCTAGCTTGAGAGAATATTTCCCTCTGCAGCACACACAAGTGTATGTTTGATAGCAGTGCAAATGTGTCTTCCCAACTTACAGAAAATGTGTTGCTCTAAAAAGAAATTACATCCTCACCACTAATTCCTAGGTTAGAATTTTTATTAAAAGAAATCTTTCACAAAAGAATAAAAAGCGCTTGTCTTAAGGAGTAATACACTGAAACATTTAAGGCTAAAGCTGTATCACCACAACAGTAAAATCTAAGTAAAAGCCAGCCTTCCTGCTGCTCTGCAGGGTCAGCTTGGGTGGCAGTATCATGGGAGATCCTTGAATCACAGGAAAAATAAAGCCAGTGATGCCTCACAATGTGCTCTCAAGATCAGCATTCAGGGTGCTTTACTTCTGAAATCCCCACTGGGTTTCCCATAGTCCATGCCCAGGTTGGCAAAGAAGGTGTGTGCCTGGCCCATATTCTGTATGGACTGACCACAAGGCACCTATGTTTTGTTAATTCTGGAAACTCCTATGAAATATGTACTTTTTACTATTATTTTATTTTTATTTATTTATTTATTTTTATTTTTTCTCAAATCTTTATTGTTGGATGTAAAATGTATTAAAGATGTTCCACATTTTTCCCCCATTGACCCCATCCTCCCCACTCCTGCCCTCCTCCCACCTTTTCCCACACTATTGTCTGTGTCCATTGGTTATGCATATAAGTTCTTTGGTTTATTTCTTCCCACCCCCCACCCCCAACCCTTTTCCCTTTGAGGTTTGTCAGTCTAGCAATGAATTTGTACTTCTTAATCCCTTCACCATTTTCACCCATTCCCCCAACCCCCCTCCCAACTGGCAACCAACAAAATGTTCTCTGTATCTATGAGAATGATTCTGTTCTACCTGTTCATTTTGTTTGTAGATTCCATTGTTGATAGATATGTATTCATTGCCATTTTGTTTGTTCATACATTTTATCTTTTCTTCAAAAAGACCCTTCATCATTTCATATAATAACGGTTTGGTGGTGATGAACTCCTTTAACTTTTTCTTGTATGGGAAAGTTTTTATATGTCCATCGATTCTAAATGACAGCTTTGTAGGATAGAGTAATTTTGGTTGTAGGTTCTTGGTTTTCATCACTCTGAATATTTCTTGCCACTCCCTTCTGGACTGCAAAGTTTCTTTTGAGAAATCAGCTGACAGCCTAATGGGAACTCCCTTGTATGTAACTAGCTGCCTTTCTTTTCTTTTTTTTTTTTTTTATCCTCGCCCGAGGACATTTTTCCATTTTTTGTTCAGATAGAGCGGGAGGGAGAGAGAGGAAGAGAGAGAGAGAGAGAGAGAGAGAGAGAGAGAGAGAAACATCGACGTGAAGGGACACATCGAATGGCTGCC